ATTGTTGTTATCTGTACTTTACTTAAGGACATTTTACACTAGATATTTTTTACTTTTACTTCACTACATCTACGTGTATCTGTACTTTCTACTTTATCAGCATGTTTCATAATTTTCAGAGACCAGTCCGGAACAGGTAACAACAACTAGGATGTTATCTTGCACTTCCTGATTAACGGACAATAAAACTCGCTGTTACTGTACTTTCTACTCCACTACATTTTAAATCTGGACTGTAAAGTAAAAAGTACTTTTCTTTGTGGTTTGAGACCCGCTGAGGAGGCTGAGACTTTTTTTTTTTTTAGCACATTTAATTTGAGTTAACGTCCCAACGTACACAAAAACAGCCAGAAAATAAATAAATAAATAAATAAAAATTCTGCTGAATCACTTAAAATCTGCTAAATTCTTCTTCTTCTTCTTTTTTTTTTTTATTTTGACCGGGTAGGGAGAGCATACATCAAGGTTTGAAGAGGTGACGAGACGATAAGAATGACTTCTGTTCTTCTGATGTGCGAGTGTAAGTGTGTGAGAGTGTGTGTGTGTTTGTGTGTGTGTTTGTGAGTAGTTAAGTCATAAAAAAGAAGACTTGTAAAACGGTAAGAGTCATTCTTCACTTTCCTTCTGCATTTCGAGCATCTTAGTTATTCACCGTGATGAGTTTATCAGCGCTTTTCAACAACTCTCAAGGACCAGTGTTTGGACGGCGATATTATCAACAACTAGCATGCTCAGTACACACTTCCTGAATCCTAAAAAATAAAATTCATCAGCGTTTTTTTCACACTTCCCGACGATAAAGCTAAGAACTTGCATCTTCCTGATTAACAACAACAAAACGCTTGATAATTAACTGGAGAAAGAACACAGTGGCCTTATTTTGACCACAAGAACTGCTCATACAATAAATCCAACAAGACAAATTTTGCTGAAATACACAGACAAAAAAAAAAGCCCCTTTAAGCCCTTCAAATGGTGTTGTCGGCAGGATGTTCAATATAAAAGCATCACGCAATACGAAGTCACTGGGGACGTAGCAAGTCTTATTATTAAACCAAAGGATTTAAAATGTGGTTTCATGTTGGGGAATCCTCTTAGAAAATGATGCAGTGTTGGGTTGGAATTGTCTGCTCCCTGTCAGAGAGATTCAGATGGCCAAAAAGAAGCCATTTTGTAATCTGACTCATAGGCTTAAGGCTTGTCACATGTGGTTTTGTTCAGTATTGTCCCCAAAAATGGAAACCGCACCAAACACGAATGGGGAAATAAATTACTTCAAGGAAAATCATGAGATGAGCCAGTTTTACCAACTTTGTCCTGAGTTCATGTCCTTAAAATCTGAAAACAACAACACCGACTAGTGTAACGTGACAGCCTTCACTACCCATGGGCATCATGTGTCTCTGAGCTGGAGGAGCTAAACACTGAGTGTGTTTACATGCACATCTGTGTCCCAGTTATGATCGGGTTTTTTTGAGTATCCCGGTTTCATCATGGTGCCTTTATACACAGCATTGCGGTATCAGTATCCCGAATGAGGCATTATTCCAGTTATGAGAAACCAGGATACTGTAGCTGGTATATTCCGATAGTAACTGGGATACTGTGGCATGTATACGCAGTATCCCGGTTACTACAACATAAATTTGAATGCGCACTTTTCAGTCTTTTCACCACAACAGTAGTGACATAAATAAAGTGACCAACATAAATAAAGTGACCAACATACATAAAGTGACCAACATACATAAAGTGACCAACATAAATAAAGTGACCAACATACATAAAGTGCCCAACATAAATAAAGTGACCAACATAAATAAAGTGACCAACATACATAAAGTGACCAACATAAATAAAGTGACCAACATAAATAAAGTGACCAACATAAATAAAGTGACCAACATACATAAAGTGACCAACATACATAAAGTGACCATACATGAGTGAAATGACTGCGCTAAACTTGCACACGTACAATCTGCACTCGTATGACCTGCACACGTATGATCGCTGAAAAGTTAAACATGAAACATCTCCTATACCAGACATGTCAAACTCAGGCACGGGGGCCAAATTTGGCCCACGATATAATTATATTTGGCCCCGAGATCATATAAAATATGTACTAGAGCTGCCCACCGGCTACAGATAGACTATAGAGACTTTTTTTTATTTAAAATGTCGTTATTATTTTATATTTTGCTTGTTCTGTTTCTGTTTAAGCAAAACTATTATTAAACATGTATTTTAGTAAGAAAAGGTTTAACATTACATATCTCAAAAGAAGAGAAACCATGCAGACGCTGTTGAAATTTTTCAATAAATATTTAGTTTGGCCCACGATTTATTCACGACTTATTTTTAATTTTGGCCTCTGTGAATTTGACCCAGCCCTATACGATATACGCATAGAACAGACTCACCATCATCAGCCACTCCTCTGTCACAGAAAAAACACATATAATCCACTGAGTCGTGTCCTTTAGTCCGACAGAAGCTGATCACACCAGCGGTACAAGAAGTGAGCTAACAGTTTATGCAAATGAGCCACGCGGTTTAAGTTTTGTTTCTGTAAAACGTAAACAAATGTGATCAAAGCTAAATTAAATTATTAAATGAGCTGATGTGGTTATGGTTTATATGTTGTAAAGTTGAGTTTATTTATGCAGAACATTTTAATACAAAATCTGCTGCAGTGTTCGGTTTGATCTGTGCAGTGGATTGTGGGATATCTCATAGCTTCTTACTGTTAGTTAGAACCTCCCGAGCTTCCTCTGCTAAAGGAGCTCATGGTTGTTTGTATATTTCCTGGTTTATTAACTTAAATTAAGTAAATTTTTGTAAGATTATGTCAAGAAACCGGGATACTCCATTTGATCATGTACACAGGGATATGAGTGTCCTGGTTTCCCAGTGCCCATGTACACGCAGTAACCTGAATACTGACATAACCGGGATATGGCTAATAACCGGGATACTGATGTATACACACTCATTGTAAGAGATGTGATACTTCAGAATAACAATACGCTAGTAAAAGCAGAAGTCCAAAAAATTACTCATTAAACATTAAATAATATACAATAATATATCATAAATAATTACATTAAATTATGCTCCAAACTTGCCTTCACTACCTCTCTGGGGTGGAGAAGCTAAACATTGTAAGAGACATTACATTAGTAAAAGTACAAAGTAGTAATCGATGAAATTACCCAAGCAAGAGTAAAAAAGTATTTGTGAAAATTTCTCGTAGCTGTCTGAATCTGTGTGTCATTCATTCATTGTTTTTTCAAAATAAAACCAAAAGTAAGAAAACGAAAAAGCATCTATTTTGTTCATTTTTTTGTCTCCAAAACCAAAATGAAAAAAACAGATAACGATTCGTTGTTTTTTTTTTCTGTTTTCAATTTTGTGTTTAAACGAATAATGGGAAAAAAACATATAATGGCTGTTTCCCATTTCATCCAATTTCGACCGTGGATCTAGAATAAAAACTGGAGATGCCGGACTTTTGCGTTACATACAGACTGAACCAGGACTGAACCAGGACTGAACCAGGACTGAACCAGGACTGAACCAGGACTGAACCAGGACTGAACCAGGACTAAACCAGGACTGAACCAGGACTGAACCAGGACTGAACCAAGACTGAACCAGGTCTGAACCAGGACTAAACCAGGACTGAACCAGGACTGAACCAGGACTGAACCAAGACTGAACCAGGTCTGATCCCAGGACTAAACCAGGACTGAACCAGGACTGAACCAGGACTGAACCAGGACTGAACCAGGACTAAACCAGGACTGGTACTACTAGTACTACCACTACTACTATGGCAAATGCTACTACTACTACTACTACTACTACTACTACTATGACCACTGCCACTACTACCACTCTAGGAATGTCCAAAAGCAGGAAAGCCTCTGTCCGGGTCGCGTGTGAGTACTAATACTGTTACTGCGACTAGTACTACAGTGACACGTACTAATACTACTACTATTATGACTACCACTACTGTTACTGTGAAGACTACTACTACAAGGACTAGTGCTACTATTAATATTACCCGTACTACTACGGCAACTGCTTCTACTACTACTACTACTACTACTAGCACTACCACTGTTGCAACTGCTACAACTACTACTACAGTTACTGCTTCTACTACTAATACTACTACTACTACTACTGCAACTGGTACTACTACTACTATTACTGCTACTGCTACTGCTACTGCTACTACTACCACCACTGCAACTGCTACTAAAAATTACTACTACTAATGCTGGTATTACTGCTGCTGCTACTACCACTACTAGTTCTACTGCGACTGTTACAAGTACTGTTACTACAACTACCACTACTGCTACTGCTACTACTACCACCACTGCTACAAATGCTGCTATTACTGTTGCTGCTGCTACTACTACTACTACTACTACTACTACTACTACTACTACTACTACTACTACTACTACTACTACTAACTACTGATACTACTACTAAACTTACTATACTACTAACTACTATGCTTACTACTACTAATGCTGGTATTACTGCTGCTGTTACCACTACTAGTTCTACTGCGACTGTTACTACGACTGTTACTACGACTGTTACTACAACCACCACTACTACTACTACGACTGTGCTGTTGCTGTATATGTCGAGCTCTGTGCGTGAAAATGAATTTCCCCTAAAGTTTAAAAGTCTAAAATCTATCAAGTCTAAAGTCTAGATGCCATTTGAAGCTGAGATTGACGGTGAAAAAGAAGTGATTTCCTAAAGCACCAATTGAAAAGCAGCTCTGAGTGTCCTGAGCCAAGTCTCACACCGATATGTCCTACCAACTTCCACTTCTGCGTTGTATTTTTGAACGTATGCGATGGAAAAAGGACACTAGAAACAAGTTTAAAATCCACTCGCTTTCTTGCTTTAAGAGTACTGTTTGAAGCCCTTTCCTCATGTTTTGTTCTGCTCTGATGTTCCAGGGCTGAAGGTGCGTGAGGTGATGATCAACGTGTCCCGGCAGCAGGTGGAGGACTTCCATGGGCCTGAGGATTACTGGTGCCTCTGCGTCGCCTGGAGCCATTTAGGAACGTCCAAAAGCAGGAAAGCCTCTGTCCGCATCGCATGTGAGTACTAATACTAATACTTCCTCTACTACTACTACTACAGTGACTGATCATACTACACTACTAATACTACCACTACTACTGCTATGGTAACTGCTACTATTACTACCACTACCACTACTACTACACTAAAAATGTACAAAAGCAGGAAAGCCTCTGTCCGCATCGCATGTGAGTACTAATACTACTAATACTGACACTACTACTACTAATACTACTATACAACAACTACAACTACTACTACTACTACAATGGCAAGTGCTACTACTACTACTACTACCACCACTACCACTACTACTACACTACGAACATCCAAAAGCAGAAAAGCCTCTGTCCGCATCGCATGTGAGTATTAATACTGCTACTGCGACTAGTACTACAGTGATTGGTATTAATACTGCTATTACTATTATTACTACCAGTAGTGTTACTGTGACCACTACTACTACAAGGACTGGTAGTACTATTAGTACTACACCTACTACTGCAACTGGTACTACTACATTTTAATACTACTATTATTAAAATAGAAGCAGTGCGACTGCTGCTACTACAACAGTTACTGCTACTACGACTACCAGTACTACAACTACTACTACTACTACTACTACTACAACAAGGACTCCTACTACTATTAATATTACCCCTACTACTACGGCACCACAGCAACTGTTACTAATATTACTACTACTACTACTACTACTACTACTACACTAGGAATATCCAAAAGCAGAAAAGCCTCTGTCCGGGTCGTGTGTGAGTACTAATACTGTTACTGCGACTAGTACTACAGTGACAGGTACTAATAATACTACTACTATTACTGCAACCACTACTACTACTACAAGGACTGGTACTACTATTAATACTACCCCTACTACTACTGCAACTGGTACTACTACATATTAATACTACTATCACCACTGCGACTGCTACAACTACAACTACAACTACTACTACTAATTACTACTACTACTACTACTACTACTACTACGATTGGTACTACTATTAATATTACCCCTACTACTGCACCACGGCAACTGCTACTACTACTACTACTATACTAGTAGTTGTACTAACACTACTGAGACTGCTACTACTACTACTATACTAGTACTACACTACTGTTACTACTACTATACTAGTAGTTGTACTAACACTACTGAGACTGCTACTACTACTACGACAACAGTGACTGCTACTACTACTAATAATAATACTGCAACTGGTACTACTACATATTAATTTCTACTACAACTACCAGTACTAGTACTACTACTATTATCACTGTGACTACTACTACTATACTTACTGGTGCTCCTACTAATGCTATCACTACTACTATTACTACTGCAACTGCTGCTGCTACTACTACTACTACTACTACTGCTGCTGCTCCTACTACTAATAAAGCTATTGCTGCTAATGCTGTTACTACTGCTACTACTACCAATGCTGCTATTACAGCTACTACTACTACCATTACTACAACGACAACTAGTACTACTACTACTACTACTACTACTAATGTTGCTATTACTTCTGCTACTACTACTACTACAGCTACTACTACTACTAATGTTGCTATTACTTCTGCTACTACTACCACTACTACAGCTACTACTACTATTACTACTACTACTACTACTACTACTATTACTACTATTACTAATGCTAATGCTGCTATTACTGCTACCACTGCCACTACTAGTTCTACTGTGACTGGTATAACTACTCCTACTACTACCACTACTACTACTGCTACTACTATTACTACTACTACTACTACTGGTGATCTATTAACAAAATATAATCTTGCACTTTTTCCTCATTAAAACAACTTAAAACGAGTTCCTTAATTAGCTCCTATAATTATAACGTCTGCTTTTTTAACACAAACGTTGCTCATACTGTTCACACTTTCACATTTGAATCTTACATTAACAATAATATCAGTTTGGTGCTCACTTTTTTTGAACCTCGCTGTTACTCCATATTTCATTTCTCTCTCCGTTGCTCTGCCAAAGCTGGAGCTGATGACTCAATTAAACAAGATTTTTACCCAGTTTGAGTTCTGCTCCTGTTGTTTGTAAATCTTTAATAACCATCTATCTCGCCATGTTAAAAGATACCCCGCTATTCTAGGACTTCTTACTTTTTCGTGAAGACTTTTACAGGAAAATCTAAAATACAACAGTTTTAAAAGTTCTGTATTTGATTTTTACAGTTTTAAAATGTGAAAACAGAATTAGTTTGCAGTGGTCCAAAGTTATTTTTCACTTACCTCATGTATTGAGATTATCGTAAATATTCACCGTGATGAGTTTATGAGTGCTTTTCACGGTTGTTGTCACGGATTTCTTACTTTTTCGTGAAGACTTTTACGAGAAAATCTAAAATACAACAGTTTTTAAAAGTTCTGTATTTGATTTTGACTGTTATAAAATGTGAAAACAGAACTAGTTTGTAATGGTCCAAAGTTATGCCTCACTTACCTCATGTATTCAGAACACTGTACATTTTCACTGTGATGAGTTTATGAGCACTTTTCACAGTTGTTGTTGCAGTAATGCTGACAACTAGCATGCTAACACACACTTCTTGAATTTTGGACAATACAGTGCTTTATTATTAGATTCAAACAGCACACAGTGGATTTATTTTGACCTTAAGAACTGCTTACACTGCTTTCTCATATTCATGAAAAAAAAAAAAAAAAAAAACAGGTTCAGGCTTTTAAACATGAAAAACAGAACTAGCTTATTTTAAGCAAGATTTTTACCCAGTTTAAGTTCTGCTCCTGTTGTTTGTAAATCTTTAATAACCATCTATCTCGCCATGTTAAAAGATACCCCGCTATTCTAGGATTTCTTACTTTTTCGTGAAGACTTTTACAGGAAAATCTAAAATAAAACAGTTTTAAAAGTTCTGTATTTGATTTTTACTGTTGTAAAATGTGAAAAGAGAACTAGGTCATTTTTTAAAAGTTTGTACTGGTCCAAAGTTTTTCCTCACTTACCTTATGCATACTGAACATCCTAAATATTCGCCATGATGAGTTTATGAGTTATGAAATAACTGTCAGAGGCCAGAGTGGAGTTTTGCTGTAAGGGTAATGTTAACAGCCAGCATACTAATGTACATTTCTTGAATCTTGGACAAAACTATACTTTATTATTGGATACAGATAGTACACAGACTCATTTTGACCACAAGAGCTGCTATTTTTTCTCAAATACATGAAAAAAAAAAAAAAAAATCAGGTACATGTCCTTTATACGGAAGCCCCTGAGAGGCAAGAGAAAAAAAAAAAAAAAAGAGGCAGGTCATTTGGGCTCTATTTTCTAAGTGTTTTTTTTTTTTTTTCACCAACTCAAAAAAAAAAAAAAAATACAAAAAAAAAAAATCTAAATCTTTTTTTGTGTGTGTGTGTTTTTCCCTGTTGATGTGGCTGGAAAAAAAAAAAAAAACACCACTCAGAGCAAATTATTATTACAATTTTTTTTTAAAGATTTTAAAAATTTTTTATATTTTTTTTTTTTGATGGAAAAAAAAAATGACCTGCCTCTTTTTTTTTTTTTTTTTTTTTCTCTTGCCTTTCAGGGCTTCCCGTACATTTAAAAATGTGAAAAAAAAAAAAAAAAAAAAAAAAAAGCAGAACTAGTTTATTTTAAAAGTTTGCAGTGGTCCAAAGTTATTCTTCACTTACCTTATCCATTCCAAGCATTATTCACATTGATGATGATTTTATAAGTGCTTCTTCAATTCTCAAAGGCCAGTGCTTTCACAGTAATTCTAACATCTATCATGCTAAACTGGCACTTCCTAAATCTTGAATAATATATATATATATATGCACTGGGACAAGACACAGTTTACTCAAACACATAGAAAAATCAGATAGTAGGCATTTAAAACATCTAAAACAGAACAAGCTCTTTTAAAAGGTTTGCATTGCTGTGAAGCCATGACGTCAAACTCATCGCGCCTGTCTGGGTCCCTTTTGTGGAACAGCACAACAGTAAACAAAGCGCCGAGACGGATGTAGACGAAGACAGACATTGTGTTTGCAACGATTCCCGAGATCGAGGATTTAAAGCCGGAACAAAGAGAATGTTTGGTGAATTTTATCAAGGGGAAAGACGTTATTGCCCTTTTTTCCTACAGGATTTGGTGGATTACATACGTCACGACCAAATAGCAGTGATTGGTTAAATAAAAAAAGTACCCGCCTACTGTCGAGTGACGGAATCCTAATACTGCGAGGTCAGACGGTTTCCATGAAATGAAACCGGCTGTTGAATCAGGCTAGCAGATTTATGAAGCTGGTGGGATTTAAACAAGATATTTCGACAGATATGTTGCCATAGAAAAACATAGAAAAGCCGTTGTGAAAAAGGTCTATAGGCTGGGTGTAACTGATGACCAAATTGGGAGAAATGGGGATAAAATCTGATGCAAATTGGAAATGCGGCAACATAGGGCCTAATTTTGGGGGGAAAAAAAACAAAACAAAAAAATTAGAAATGAGGGAACATAGGGCTTTGGGGACACAGACACGCTCCCATCATTTCCTGATTATAAGACAATAAAATACATAAAGCACATAGCGGCCAGACTTTGACCTCAAGATCTGCTTATACAATATATCTGTACTGGGGCTACACAAATTTTGCTCAAATACACAGGGGAAAAAAAAAAAAAAAAAAACAGACCGGGTACAGGCCCCTTAAGCAGTTTGGTCCTGATGCGGAGTGACAGGTTATTAAAACTGGCCAATCTAAAATCCAAAATGGCCGACCGTTATTCTAATTGTGATTAAAATGGAGCTGACAGCAAACCTTGTGTCCACTGTTCCTTTGGTCGGAAGAAAAGTCGAGAGAATTGACGTTAAAAGCTAGCGGTGTCGGTTCAAATAAGCACTCGTGCACTGGCTAAAAGCTGCTGACCAGTGTGCGGCTGTCCGAAACACTTATTATAGAAGTCTGGAGGAGTCCTTG